GCCCTTAACCATACGAGTGGCCCTCCTCTGGACTCTCTCCAGGTTATCCGCATCCCTCTTGAATTGTGGCGCCCAGAATTTTACGCAGTACTCCAACTGCGGTCTGACCAGAGCCCGATAGAGGGGAAGTATCACCTCCTTGGACCTATTCATCATGCATCTGCTGATGCACGATAAAGTGCCATTGGCTTTTCTGATGGCTTCGTCACACTGCCGACTCATGTTCATCTTGGAGTCCACTAGGACTCCAAGATCCCTTTCCACTTCCATGCCACCCAGCAGGTCATTCCCTAGGCTGTAGGTGTGCTGGACATTTTTCCTCCCTAGGTGCAGCACTTTGCATTTCTCCTTGTTGAACTGCATTCTGTTGTTTTCTGCCCACTTGTCTAACCTGTCCAGGTCTGCTTGCAGCTGTTCCCTGCCGTCCGGCGTGTCCACATCTCCCCATAGCTTTGTGTCATCTGCAAACTTGGACAGAGTACATTTCTCTTCCTCGTCCAAGTCGCTGATGAAGACATTGAAGAGTATCGGTCCAAGGACCGAGCCCTGCGGGACCCCGCTGCCCACACCCTTCCAGGTCGAAGCCGACCCATCCACCACGACTCTCTGGGTGCAACCCTCCAGCCAATTTGCCACCCACCGGACTGTGTAGTCATCCAAGTCACAGCCTCTTAACTTGTTCACCAGTATGGGGTGGGATACCGTGTCGAAGGCCTTCCTGAAGTCTAAGTATATGACATCCACCCCTCCTCCTGTGTCCAGGCGTTTCGTAACCTACTGTTCCAAGCTTGTGCTTATTTGAGCAAGGAGTTCCCCAGATACAGCCCTCTACCCAGGCAGATTAATATGCGGGGCCCGGGCCCAGGAGCCCCAGCCAATCAGGAGCCCCCTGGGAAAAATTCCCAGGGGAGGCTAACTGTGTGTGCCGGGGGCAAGCCATGAATGGTTGCCTTCCTGCAGGCACTGCGACGCTGTAGGACACCAGACACCAGGCTGAGGTGGAGCCAGTGTGCACAGGGACTGGCAGGGGTCCTGCCCTGGGCTGTGGGCAGCACTATGGGAAGAGCTGGTTGCAGCGCGGGCACGTGGTTGGGGGCCTGATGGGGCTGCCCAGCGCACACTCCTATCTGGTGGCTCTGCAGCTGGCGTAGCAGTTCTGTGGGGGCAGCCTCCTCACCTCGTGTTGGCTGCTCCCAACCATGCACTATCTGCAGCACCGGCAAGGCTCTGCGGGCAGATGGGCAGGTGTGGCTCTCAGGGCCAGCCTGGGGAAGGACTGGGCAGGGAGCCAGCGGCCCCTGCCGTGCCCAGCAGGCCCGACATGTCCGAGATCGGGCTCAGGTTGAGCTGCTAGAGTGCCAACAACGTCCGCAGGTCTGCAGAACTGCAGGTGGAGAGCTACGTGCTCCATGACAACTGCTCCCAGGCCACCAAGCACCATGACATCGGTGAGCCCCTGGCCCAGCCACAGCTGCAGGACCCCTTCCCCCCCAGCCACCCAGGGCCCCCCCATGCTTTGCCTTGATTCGTTCATGTTAATAGTGGGGTGTGGGAAGCCTCCAATTTTCTGTTTGCCCAGTGCCCCAATAAATCTTAATCTGCCACTGCCTCTGCTGGTCCCCAAAAGCTCTTGTAAAGTTCCTCAGATTCTGCAAGCACTTGATTATGCAGATCTGCTTGGGGATTAAATTGTGGACCTCCTTATTCCCAAAATGATCTCAGTTGCTTGACATGTATTACTTCTAGTGCTTGGGAAATAAAATTAGAAAGAATAGCTAGCAAGGCACGGAGCTCTTCAGGATTATCCCTAGCATCGACTGGACAGATTGCCCTGCATGAGCACGAGCTGGGAAGGTTTACAGTTTCCATCACAACTGAGTAGCTCAAGGTGGCCAGTGGTGGTTTGACTCCGACTGTTCTGCTGGGATGATGACCCTTGTGAATGTTCCTACATGAAGAAACCCCCACCTTGTGTAGGTGCCTGAACCCCTCAGCCTGCCCTTATGTGAGCAAGTAGCTGGTGAAACCCTGGTTGTCTACGGGAGAAGCTGAAAACTGGCCTGTTGAAAACAAGCTCCAAGCATGCAGTGACTGGGGTAAGGAAGACCTGATATACTTGATGTGTATCACAGTCTCTTGAGCACTGACTGAGGGAAGGGGAATGAGAACACTCATCAGGAAGAATGTAGTCACCTTCAAGATCTATTGCTTCAAACTGTATTCATCTCTCGGGCACTCTCTATGCAACGTGCTCACAGGAATGGGCTGCTGTATAGTCCTCTGAAAGCTCCTTTCTTTTAATGGGTTAACGCTTCTCCAAAAGTTCTAAAATATACACAGTTGCTTGGGTTTGGTGGTGCAGAGTGGGTTAGTTGGGCAAATTTGAGATTATATAAATCTGGGGGTTTTATGAGAAACCTTGGACTAGAGAGCATTTTCAAGGTGACTGATTTTATTGGCATTTTTTTTTGCATAAAGCCAAGTAATCAAGTTGTGCCTCTGATCTTGATTACACCCCATGAGGAAGTGATATAGAACCTGATATTCATTAAAGAGCAAAAACCTAGATAGAAATACAGGACCTGGGGGGAGCCCTGGTCTCTCTGGGGGTATCTGACGCTTCTTCCTGCTTCTCCCCAAGAGCTAGGATCTGGGGCAGAGTCCTTCCCTTCTTTGGGAGTCTAAGCCTATTTTCCTGTCCCCCAGGTAGGAGCCCTGGTCTGTGGAGGATCTTCCTCTTCTGAGGGGTTGAGCCCCTCTTCTTGCCTCCACATATCTGGGGGAGTCCCCTTACTAACACAATCTGGGCCTCTCATTTTCTACCATATGAGACATGATCTGGAGGGCATGAAGGGGTAACCCAGATTTAAACCTCTGAAACCAAGAAACAGGTTAAAGTACTGTACTGCCAGGGGCAGCTGGCAGGAGCTGAAGGTGAGGGGCAGGATCAGGGTAGCAAGGTGGGCCAAGGGCATGGCTGGGGAAAGCTGGGTGCAGCAGACAGGGGTATAGTAGGTGTGAGAGGCCTGGGTCAGCGCACAGCTGGTGTAAATGAGCCAGGCAAGCTGCTGCTTGTCAATACCCAAGCACAGCAGCAGAAGGCAGCAGACAGCAAGATGTGACATTTTCCAAGGTACTGTTTTCTAAACTGGCTTATTGAACTGGGAAGGGGAGCAGGGTTGGGGAGTACATTATGTGGGATAGTGGAGCAGATGTGTATGTGCATGCCTCTGTGGTCTTCTCCACACCTCTCTCACATTCTTGATGCAGTCAGTGTATAATAAAACTGCCAAGGTTTGGGGACAGAGGTGGGAGCTTTGATTTCCTCCCAAGGCCCCACTAGCAAATTACACCCCATTTCAATGTATAATAGTGCAATATGGCATCCAGTCCTTTACTTCAGGGTAAGTGCAGGTGAACTAGTCAGCTGTTTTGCAGTAAGCCTTGCCCCCTGGTAACCTGCTGTAACAAAACCCTAGGTTTTGTTACAGCAGAAACCCAAGAGATGCCCACTGGGTTTCTGTGAGCTTGTCAGTCCTCTTGTCTGTGAAATGGGTGTGCCCGGGTTATCGATTTGCTGAGAAATCACAATTTACCAAGAGCTCTTCAGTAAAGTGACAGAAAAATTAAAAGAACAAAGGAACAAGGGTTCAAATACTTTGAAAACAAAGCTGACAAAATCCTTACCCTATGTTCAGACTATCATCCAGGCCTCCTAAAAATGCCTGTGAAACCCCCCTCAATCACAGACAGCTCCTCAGCTGCAGCTCTCCTCACAGGGAGCCCCTTCTTTCATAATGGGCACAGCCTCCACACAGCCTTCGTGGCCATCGTAGAGGACCTTACAGTTTTCTGCTACTCTGTCCTCTATTGATACAAAACCCGACACCTTTATGTCTTTCAAGAAAAAAATAGAGGACATAAAGGCATCCAGTTTTGTATCAATAGAGGACAGAGGACAACCGATGGCCACCCTATGGCCCCACCTGCTGTCAGGGGAGCCAGAGAATCCTCTGCCTGGATCTGTGACACCTGCCTCAATTTGATGGTGTGTTTATAGCCACCCTCTCCCTTTTATAGGGTACTGAAGTGGGAGCCACCCACACCTGCCCTCCAGCTAAACTGTTGAGCCCACACCAGAGAGAGAAATGTTATTGCTGCTGAATTTTACCTCCTCTTGGCTGCCCTTCACGAGCCCTTCCTCGTTAGGTAGATAGTTTTATCTACTGCTAGACTTTCTCCCATGCACTATTAAATGCCCAGGATACTCTTGCCTCCCACCTATTTGCTGACAGTCCCCATGACAAGAAGACCCCTGACTCCCTCTCCCCCATCCCTACTGACACAGTCTACACAATAGAGCCGCCAAAGGAGCACCTTGGATCTCTCTTGGTGCACAAGCATTTCTTTTCTCTGATTATGCAGAGATTCCCTCCTCCACCATGGGGCAGGCCCACAGATGAGATCATCTCATATCAGGAGCTCAGCTCTGCTCTCCTGCCTCCACTAATCACTGCACCGATTGGCACGGCTACATGGTCAGACTGGACGCTGCTGGAGTGCTGTCAGACCACTGCCTTTGGTGTATTGCAAGTTTTGGGGACAAAGTTAAGGCACATGTCCCAGCATCCTTAACTCTGTGTCCTGGTTTTCAAAGGTTTGGGTTTTGCTGGACTTGATGTTCTGAAGGAGTATGAGATGCTGCCTGTTTTATTATTTAATATGTTGAAGCTCAAGGGTTCTGGCCACCTGTTGGCAGGAAGATCTGTGCTGAGTTACAGGGCTGCTTGGAAATGCTGGCAGGATTTCGAATTGGGTTGATATATGTGCTTTTTCCCTTGTACCTTCATGATTAACCTGCTTATCAGTTGTTTTTTTTAAATCTGCTTTTCAGCAACTTTACTTGCCCATGAACAAAGTGTACCGAAATAAATATTGTATATCTCTGTATGGTATCCGTTAAATCGCCATGTGCAGCTGCAGTTAGCAGGACACTGTCACATCAGAATTTACCCCCAAGTATTGCTAAGAATACTTGTATTCCATCCAAGGAAAAGATGAAAGCAAACAGGTCTTATAGAATAAATGATCATCCTCCTCTCTAGTGTTCATAGCCTGAACAGTGTAGCTTTACACGAATGTGTGAGAACCCAACAGTGAAATTAGGCAAGCTGGGTAAAGTGCAGTGTGCAAGGGGAAGACGAATTGAATGCATTTAAAATTCACTTTGAATAAACATAGTTTACTTGTTCCACAAATAAGGGGAATATTTTTCTCAGGTCCGTGCTGTCATTGCTGCTTCTCTTGAGTGAAGGCGGAAAGAACGAATGTTCTTAGTTTGAGGTCTGTTAGAAACAGCACAACAGCCTCTGGCCCTGACTGCCTTCCTCTGTACCACGTCATTCTTGGGGCTAATTGGGGCAGGCTGTAAAGCTCCTTTCTACACAAACCCATGCCTTGTTTTTTGAAACAGTGGTTTGAGCCCCTTAGCATTTCAGGCAGAAGGGAATGACTGAATGTTGTTAGTCTGTGGGCTACACCGAGAGTCAGAGTTTGCTCAGGGCACAACTGGAAGGCACTGGTTTGTGGGAAGTGAGGGCTGTGCCATTTTATTTACAATATGAAATTTGAACATCTCTTATGATCTCTGTTTTCCTTCACAAGTTAACTGAGTGCTGTTGTTTTCTAAGGAATCCACGAGGTGGTGCTACTTCTCTTTAAATACTAGGAAGTACACTACCTACCCCAGTCTTTCTCATGTGAAGATGAATAGTTAATAAATTCCCTGCGTCTCATCCAATAACAGCTTCTCCAGTTGTTAATTTGTATATGTATTGTCTGACTATTACCATCCTACAATGGAATACACCGTGTGCAGTTTCATGCTGCCTTAATTTCTTTAGATAAAATATTTCCCTTCTGTACTTTGAAAGTGTAAATGGTGCACGCCCCTTCATGCCTTTTGAAAGCAACAGAAACATTTTAGTTTGTTTCTTTACAGTACGCTAATCTGCTTTCCATAACTCTGCGATTTTTAATCCCTCCAAGATCCAGCATGTTAAATTGTTGGTGCTTCTGGCCATGTGCATGCCTGTCTTTTCCAACAATGGTTTCTTGGAAAGGCATACATACTTATTCTGAAACTCATTGCAGGGTCATCCCAGAATCCCCCCGGTGGCTAATCTCCCAAGGAAGATTTCAAGAGGCAGAAATGATCCTCCGTAAAGCTGCAAAAATTAATCGGATTACAGCTCCCGATGTAATATTTGACCCTATGGAGGTAAAATTCATATGTATTGGACTGCATGGTGCTCTGATTACTGTTAAAGATGTTTTTAATTTTTGGTTTGCTCATTTGCATTAGGGTAGTTCTTACTATGTGCCTGGCCTTTTCCCCATGGGTAAAATATAATCCCTGCCTCGAGGACCTGAATCTCTTTCCCCGTCTTTCCTATTCATAAAACTTCTGACCCCTCTGCCATCTCCATTCCAGTTGTGGGGATGGCACACTATGGCTTTGTTCTGTATTGTAGCCATTTGTGCCTTTTGGACAGGGGCTAGATTTGTTGGCTAGCTTACTCCTTGCTCAGTGCTGTATCATATGTTCCCTGAGTCTATGTATGCATTCTGCCATCTTCTAAATACTTGAAGATACTCATTGTCAGTCTGCTGAAGCAAGACCCAGTTGTGGGATGAGGAGTGTTTTTGGATTTTCAGGCTGTTTTACAAGGTGCAGTTCTTTCAGTTGTTTTCGTAGCCTTTGATCTTGGTCATAAAGACCAATGCCCCAGCCAGAAACCCAAGCCTCCAAAAGGATGAGCAAGGGGACAGCAAAGTAGGGCCATACCTGTCTTAAAAAATAAAGAGATACTTGTAAATGCTGTAAACCCCCATTATTGAAGGACCAGTCCTGACAAAGGAGAGTCCCCCCTCTGCCCTTTAAGTGTTTTAAGGGTGTCCTTACCAACTGGTGTCCCTCAGGGTCTAGGTGTTTTGTTTTAGTGGGATCTAATGTAACCCTGCCTCTGACAGCATGACAGAACCAAGCCCAGCCATGTCCAGCTACAGCCGTGCTGGAACCTTAATTCATATGAGATCAGGCTTTCCAATGAGATTTGTGGTCAGTACTTCCTGCTTTCATCGGGGTAGAGATACTATCTACCAAGACTTTCCTGAGCTTTCAAAATCGCATTTTTGGCACTAAGTAGCCTCTGAATCCATTGTGTTCGCTGATACCAGTGGAAACATTGGCAGAAATGGATTAGCATTTTCTATGCTGCACTGCGCATCTAGATTGGCAGGAATTCAGGCTCACTCAGGACTGGAATGTACCTAGTAACTGGAAGTAGGTAAGGCAGGGTGATACCTTGGAGACTAACTGGTTCAGAGGCATGATTTTTTTGCAGGCAAGGACCTACTTCATTGGCTGCTGTGGTTGTTGCCTATGAAAGTTCATGCCTCTGAACCAATTAGTCTTTGATGTATCATCCTGCCTTGCCTTTTCTGCCTGACTTCAGACTAACAGAGCTAACCACCTCTCAAGTAACTGGAAAGTCTGTACATTCCTTAAACTATAAGCACTCCCTGAGTGTATGTCCACTAACCAAGACAAAGGGGTGATTATAGGAGGGGCAGGTGTACCTCTACCCTGGGCTGTAGTAGCAGGGAAGAATGTCATGGGCCGGGTGAAGAATGCCAGGGTGTCCAAAGAGTAAGCTTATGCTCTGGTTGTGCTGAAACCTGAGCCACTGAGTCTTGGCTGTAGTTGTTACCAGGACTGGTTTTCATTTTGCAGTGTGGATGTATTCTGTGATTGTGCAAGGCCCATTCTAGTGCAGTCCCAGTCCTGGCCAGGGCTGCTGGACACCTCTCTAGTCTAAATATATTACATGAACGAAGATGCAGGTGCAACTCGACTTGCCTATCAAGACTTCTTAGGATAGAACCATTACTCTACGTCCTTTCCTTGCTTCTACCTGGTGTCCCTGGAGTCTCTTTCTCTGGTTGAGCTGTTGCTAAAACAACATGGGCTAAAAACAGACTTCAGGTTTAATCCTGGGCTGATCTGACTTGCATTAAATCGGGTAGAGGAAGGATACACACATGCATGCACCCCCACCCCCCTACACACACACCTGTCATTGTTGTCGTGTCCGTTCCCCCCCACCATGGTAAATTACCTGCAGTTGTCTTACTTTGGATACTTTGCAGCTACTTATTATGGGACAATAGGGTTGGCCAGTGTAGGATTCCAGGATAAAAGGCTAAGAAAATCCAGCATCTGGTTTTAGCCATAAGTTTGAACCTTAGCTCTACAGGTTTTATCTCCCTTTTGGAAGTCACACTGAAATCCTTGGAGAGATACCAGACTCTGCAGTACCCTTAAAAGGCTCTCAAGGCACCCCAGGGTACCATAGCATCCTAGCTGATAATCAGTGGCCTAGGCTCTGTCTAGACTCTGGAGTCTTGAAATAGCTCCAGATCCTGCAGTTGGGTCCCTGGATAGCGGACAGATGTATAGCCAACATTTTGTCCACTCTTCCTTCCGTTCAGTTAAATAGATGAAGCTTCAGATTATGGGGTTAAATTCAAAGTGCTGTTTTCCTTTAACTGCAGATGTAAGGCCCTCCCAGGCTTCCTGTTAGGGCTTGTCCCATTAAGGCTCTTTATTGTCTGCCTATTCAATCATTAGCAGGCAGTTTTTTTGACAGCTTGTGACTCTTTGAACTTTACTGTGTTCCTGGGTTTTCTTAGTTTCCCGTTTGCTGGTTTCTCAGCAACAAACAGGAGCAAAATCAGTGCCTTTAGGAAAGATCACATGATTTACAAGAAAGGGCAGGCTGGTGGCAGGGAGGCTGCTAGCATGTTTGTCTGCAGGCAGCAGCCTGGTTTCATGGAAATAGCACACTATTCAAGCCACTGAAAATGTAGGAAGTTGTTCTTTTTATACGGACAACAATGATTTTCAAAGTAGAAGAGTTGAGTCCTAGTGTGTGTGAACATTAGATTGTTATTATCTTGCCCTCTGCAGTACCCTGAAGGAAACAAGTATTTCAGACAGCTTGCTTTAAAAACAGCTTCCATGGTAGCTGTATTAGCCTTATTGAAAGGCTGTATTCACATTAGAGCAGATAGATTATATTGAAGATTAAAGGTGGGCTTTTTAATCACTCTTAATAATAAGAGTTCTTCCTCTTGGAATTGAGTCCGTTGGTTTCAGTGCAAGGAATTGTGTATAACATGGGAGGCAGTTGTGCCGCCCTTTGACCTGATGAATATTTTGCATTCCAAAGCTTGGCTAACTATCCCAACTACACAGGTGGTCCAATAAAAGATATCACCCTAAGAAATCCTACCATTTTTTCAGGTAAAGTAGTATTTCACTCCTTGCTTATCCCTTCTTGAGTAATCAAAACTACTTGCATAATCAAGTAGTACTCTTGGGAGTAGCAGTGGTAGAATCGGGCATAGGATAAGTAGAGTGTAGATCTGGGTGCAGGATAAATATAGCCAACTTATTTAGGACCAGCTATTCCAAAGTGAAATCTTATCCAGTACCAGAGTAGATATTTTTACACTCTTTCATTTAAAGACAAAAGGGCTATATGCATGTAACAACCAAGGTAGGATCCTCAGATTTTACATATTCCTTCATGCTATGCACACGCATCGTGCCCTTGCATTCAGGGTCCATGCTTTAGTTGCAGTTCAGATCTCTCAATGATCTAGCTGGAAAGGAATTTGATGTGAACAGATAAGATACTTCCTCATCCACATGAGCCAGCTTGTCTCAAAAACTTCTCCATCAGGGAGAGAAATACAGAACTGATGCTGACCAGAAAGATGGGGGAGTAAATTACAGTACAAAACCAGTGGTTGGATGCCTTTGAGGATACCGCTGTACAACAGAAGGTCACTGTGCAGAGAAGCCCAAGATAGACCTGCACACACAAGCTCTGAATCTTATATACTATATATAGCCACCTTAGCACAGCATTGTAATTAGCTCTGTGCTTGGTTGTCACCTTGGCTGCAAAAACAGTGCCACTAGTCCATTGTAATATTTTTGGGGGAAATGCTTCTAAGTAAAAGTTCCCAAAATTCATGCTGTATGACTGTATTGTTATATTCTCTGCCTGGTATAACTTACACACAGTGCATGAGATGTTCTGAAGAAATAAAGTCCTGTCCACTAGTTAAAGTGAAGTATTATTAGCAAGGTTAAGGAATTGAGAAGATTGACTTTTAAATACTGTTTCTTAGAATTTCCCTTTCTCAGTCATTGTTGAGAGAGGAACTTCATGCACAGCTTTTTTTTTAATTTGCTTTGGCTCATGGTGCTGATCTCTGCACATAGCAGCAATTGGGATGCAGCCTATATGCAAAAAGCCCCTCTTATAGCAAACAAGGGATGTTATCTTCTAAATATTTAAAGTTGCCACGTCCACTTCAAATAATATAGAAAAATCTCGAAGTGCCAAGTATATCTTAAGGCTTTTTTACTAGAAAATTTTGTCCTATGTGTTCACAAAGGGTTCACAAGAACCAAAGTGCTTCTTCTGGGGTCTCTGTTATTTAGACTTGGAGGAGGGGTGGGAGAGAGGGAATCAGGGCAGGGGTCTTCTTGTCATAGAGACTGTCAGCAAATAAGTGGGAGCCAAGAATGTCCTGTGGATTAAGCAAAAGACCAGTATATTGAAAGTCTAAATCACTTTTCATTGTTAATGCTGAAGCAGTTTTATTTTGAAATTACTGCATATATTTGCTATAAAGTTTTTACTAAAAACACAGTTTTTAGCCCTTAATCCTATGGAGTACTTAAGCAGATGCTTAACTTTAAAAACAGGAGCAGTCCTGTTGAAATCAGTGAGCCTTTCTATTAGCTAAATTTACATACTGCTTGAATATTTGCAAGATCAGAGCCCTAACTTCCAGTATTTTTTGTACTTTATAGCAGTTATGCAAAGACCCCTCCCAGTAATGATATTTAAAGAACAGAAGTGATGATATAATTACAACTTTTAATCCAAAATTGTAATTATCTCTTAAAGCATTAACTTGAGGTAAATCAACACCTTTTCCTTTAAAGCATGCAATCTGTCACTCTACTTGGTAGTTTTTCTAATGTTCATCATTCCCACTGTTAGGAACAATGCACAGGTTTTAATCCTCTTTAGATAAATCTCTTCACTAAGCAAGGTGTCTACAGCCTGTTCAGATAATCAGCACTGTCCATGTCTTCTTTATGATCAGCCTCATACTCTAGTGACATTGTTCCTATGGTTTTGTACTGGTTTTTTTTCCCCTCAGATGCAAGACTTGGATTCCCAGGTGCAGCAAACGTACAGCTTTTTGGACCTATTGAGGACCCGAAATATCCGATCTATCACTATTATGTCAGTGATTCTTTGGTAAGTAAAAGTATGTTCCAAGAACACAAGCATGAAGCCAACAGTAAGTGACTGCTGGCTAAGAATGCTTAAAGAATTATTTATAGGAAGTGGCACAGTCAACACAAGTAGTGAGAATTCAAAGGACAAAGAGCAGCTTAAGTCAGGTTAAGATGAAGTGTAGGATGTTTTTCATTTGGGGTATGCTACATAGTGATTGTCCTTACACTCTTGGCAGTTATCTCCATCCTTATGAACACAATAGCCAAAGGCATACGGAGTGGAGGAGCATCAGCTGCCATTCAGTTCCTTCAGTTCCTCCAGGGTCAATATCTCTTGATCTACAAAGAGATGAATTAGAGCTATTGTGATGTAGCTGTAATTTAATAGCTGTTAGAGAAGTTAGTTCAAGTTTATTGTTTAAAAATTACCATGGCTGGGTTTGTCTGTACAAGGAAGTTAATTCTGATTAATATTAGGCTGTGAATTTAAAGTAGACTTGCTCTTCCTCATTAAATTCCTGTGGAAGTGAATTCAGCTTGTTCAGACTAACTTGCTCGTATTCCAGGATAAGAGTAATCACATAGGAATTATTCTGGAATAGGTCTTTAGGAATAATTCTGCCTATATACAGGCTACTGAGTGCAATGCTACTGGGGTTTTTTTTGTTTGGGGGGGGGTTGTTTGGTGTTTTTTACATTTTATTAATGTATTTATTTAGGATCCTCCCCTGTACAGGACTAGAAT